GAAACTGTTTGTTTAAATTTTCTCAACTGTAATTTTTGTCACTGAGTTTGTGGGGGGAAAAAGAACATGGTTTCTACAAGATCAAAACCACTTATTATGAGCTAACTTCATTTGACCTAAATGTATGAGCAATGCATATCAGATAAAATGAAAGACATACTTACTGAATGTAATTAATGGCTCAGAGATTTTACTTAGCACTTCAAAGTTTCTTGAGTTAACAAGGAGTATCTTTTATTGGTCTTTACATACTAATAGTGGGGCAGCAGTAATGGGATGAGGTAACAGAGGTTCATGAAACCATCATAATTTCATACCCTAGCTTATACTGCAGGTTGACATTCTTGTACCTTTTGCATATGGGAATCTCTTTCCCCCTCTCCCTTTTTTCAAGTTGCAAAGCAACTGCTGTAATAAAAATACTACAATGATTACCTTGCAAACTTAATGGTTGCTTTTTTCTTTTTTCAGTGCACATTGTTTCACACACAAAACGTATCAGAATTTATGAAATGAAAATAACTAAAATTGCAACAAACTGTTTCTTAAAGACCTAGTATTCTAATTCTGCCCTCATTGAAGTCTATGGCACAGCCAAATTGACTTTAATGAAAACAGGCACAGACCTACAACTAGCCTACAATTTTGAACAAGTAAAATAAGAGCGTCTCCAGAAGAAAAAAGAACCAAATAAGACTGGCAGGAAATAAAACATATTGAGAGCCACTATTAGTCAGCTCCTGCACCCCTTAGTTACACAGGTAGTCCTTACTTATTAGAATAGTCTTATTGAAGTCACTATGCCACTGGTGTAAAGAAGATCTGCTTATGTGAGTAAGGGCGGCAGGAATGGGCAATAAATCTCATTGAAATCAATGGGACTTGGGCACATGCTTCAGTGTTTCCCTGAATGGGGATAGATTTAGCTACATGCCGGTCCCTAAAATCTAATTTCTGCAAAGGGCTGAGCACCCTCAACTTGCATTAAAGTTAGAGTTGTCGTGCTCATCACCTTGCAGATTAGTTCCCTCACATTAGATGCAGAAGATTAATTTAAAATCAATTAATTTCATGTTAGGAATCTCACAGAATGTTTTTATGGACTAACGGCCAGTTGTTCTAGCAACCAGTAAATCACTAGCTGCCTAGAATAGCTGCTTTCCTTCTTCAGATCTTCATTGCCAAATTATATGCTCAACAGAGCAGCCATAATCCTCCAGAAAATCAGATTTTACTGTTCATAAATATGGTACCGCCTCTTCCTGCTCCAGTAGAAAAAAATGCCATCAGCTATCAAGAATTTTAGCTGAGATAAATTATTCATTAACTTGTTCTTGAAAGCTGATTTTTTTAAAAACTATAACTAAATAAATATTTCAACCTTTTGGGAAAGTGTCAGAGGGAGGAAAAAGATACAATAGGTTCATGAAGCACTAAAAGCTCATTGGCCAAAAAATAATAAAGATAAAGTAAATGACATTTCTGACATGCGGTAACTAACTGTAAACTGTGTTTGTGAATAGTGTCTAATTAGGCAGTAAACTCAGTAAGTCTGGTCCTGCAAGCTCCTACATATGACTGTCTTCACTGGGAGCAGATTGTGCTCAGCACCTCACAGGGTCAGGTCATTGCTAGTATCTGTCCTAGAAACTTTGTTAGTGTGGCTGAAACCAGATAGATGATGATGATGATGATGATTCTTCTTCGTCGTCATCGTCTTCATCTTCTTCACCGAGTTATATCCATTGTAGTTGGTAGCTCTTGTTCTTCATCTCCAAATGTTCTTTGTCAAGTTTGTTTTGCAAGCTAACAACACCCTTCTTCATTTCCATCTATCGTCTTTCTGGGTCTTCTTGTCCCATCACTATTAGCTCTTGTTCTATCTGAAACATATCCCACATCTCATTGTCTCAAATGATCCAGCTATCTCATTTGATACTGCCTCAGCTTTTCCGTGATGGCAGCTACCTGCATCATGGCTTGTACCGTTTCATTGCGTAACACTGCTCTACAGCCAAAATGCTTCTGAAATAAATGTAGTCAAACTTTACTAATTCTGGGTCACTGAAACGAAAATGATGCTTAAAATTGTTGATTGGCTCTAGTTTTCAAGATATGCTATTGGGTCAGTATATACGACCCTTGACTTGGGAATGG